TATCCATCATCATTCGCTAGAGGGGGGGGTGGTGTCCATCATCAGCTAGTGAGGGGGGTGGTATCCATCATCAGCCGTGACGGGGGGTGCTATCCATCATCACCAGCTAGAGAGGGGGGTGGTATCCTCAATCACGGACCTGTAAGCGTTAGCAGGGGAAGCGGGGATCGAGCTGGTGCGACAAATATTGACTCCCTCGAGAGCACTCCTTATGTAACTCTCTTGAGAAATCTCAATCGTGCCAGCCTCGCGGTCGCGACTACATGCGCAACCAAGAAAGAACTTGACCTCGCTCAAATTCTTCGTGGAAAGAGAGTCACCTAGCGCTTCCACAACCGTCTTGGCAAGGCTCTCAATTCCTGCATACAGAATGTCATCCACATGAATCGCGACCATACCCATCACCTCGTCCCCCATTATGAAACGGAGAACACACGGGTCAGACAGAGACTGCTCAAAACCAATTGTCATCAGGTCCGACACTAGTCTCTTGTGAAATGTTCTAGATGCCTGCCTCAGTCCATACAACCTCTTGTCTAAACGGACGACCTTTCCTGACACCGGCTCGCAGCCAGGAGGCAACTTCATGAACACCTCATGNCATGCCTGCCTCAGGCTATACAAACTCTTGTCTAAACGGACGACCTTTCCTGAGATCGACTCGCAGCCAGGAGGCAACTTCACGAACACCTCATGATCCAATTCCGACTGAACAAACGCTTGCTCAATGTCAAAGTGGAGTAATTCCAAGTTGTACTTGCACGCCAATGCTACCAGCAAACGAATCGATGCAGCATTTGCAGCAGGCAAGAAAGTCTCAAGATAACCCACACCATGCTTCTTCGCCAAGCCCTTCGCTACAAACCTAGCCTTGGCCTTCACTATCTTGCCTGTTTCGTCTGCTTTCCATTTATAGACCAATCCAGCATCTATCACGATACAGCCTGTCGGGGCCTTTACTGCTAACGCGAACGTTCCTGTTGTTAACAAGCCTTCAAACTCTGCAGACATGGCTTTGTCCCAAATCAAGGAGTACTTTGACTGACGGGCTTCTTTATAGCTACTACCCGGTCCTGACTCTACGTCCTGAATGAGCACTTTCGGCAACTCGATAGTATCAGATACTCTCTGCTCCACTAAGATTGCTTCTTATATTTCTGCTGCGGAGATGGGTCCTAGACCGGCCATGAGGCCGGTTACGCTCTGCTGATTTACTGCCCGAGTTTGCGCACGGGTTCTGCCTTCTCTGACTTCAACATTCTCATTTGCAGCAGTGTTGTAACTAGCAAACTCATGCCGCGCACGATGATTAGATGGTACGTGCGTAGCACGGGGAAATGACTCTGATTCTACCTCCTGCCCTCCCGGCTCAACCAGCTCTTCATCCAACCCTTCCTGACTCTCCGACTCTACCTCCTGCCCTCCCGAACCCGCCGATTCTGCCTCCTCTGTCTCCGGCCCTTCCTGTCCTTCCTCATCGGTGAACTAGTCTGCTGGAGAAGGCACAGGGGGAGCTTCGCTACTAGGGGAATTACTCGCGGGCGAAGATGGCACAGAGGGGGGTTGACCTACACTGCCTGCATCAACACTGCCAACCTCATCGGTTGCTCCACCAGAGATCGTTGCATTACGTCGCAAAAGAATGTGGGGAACTCCTCTCCCTAAAAGCGGCCATAGCTTCTACATCGTCGTCACGTTCCTCCCCTCCCTCCTCTGCGACCTCAATCGGCCAGAGAGACGGTTGCGGTGGAGGGAGTTGTGACGGCAACGCTTCCCAACCCTCACATTCCTCGTTTCCTGAATAGTTCCAACCCTCGTAAGTACTCTATGACAGTCACGCGGGTGGTCTCTCGAAGGACCGACACAAAAGCAAGCCTCACCCTTCAGCAGCAGCTTCGACGGTCGCTGCCACCTACGGTAAGCCGGTTTCAAAAACGGATGCGGTCTAGCAGGACTAGCTTGACCATGCCACATCTCATGCGGCGATCTCCTATCGGGGTTAGCGGAACAAGCTGTGTGGTTAATTGCTTCCCAAGCCCAGTGCATCGCCTCAGCCCATAGTCTATCAGTCTTGGGTAATTGCACATGCCCAAACAAAACTTTTGCCTGAATACGGGTAGCCATTGCCGCCGCCTCAATCAATCCCAAACCACGCTCTGCAACACCGTTGTATTGGGGACTGTAAGCTAGGGTGAACTTTTGCTTATTAATCAGGAGCTCGTTGCACACGGACGCAAATTCTCCTCCGAAAAACTCAACACCATTGTCAGATCTAACAATCTCAACTAATGATGGGGTACCATCAGCACGCACACTTGCGAGAAAACCCCGGAAAGCACTGGCAGCGTCTGATTTACTTTCCAGGAAATACGTCCATGTACGTCTTGTGAAATAATCCTTCACTATCATGGGGTAATGTTTACCCCCTACGGACGCAACGTCCTTCCGTCCTCCCAGGTCTACAAAAACTCTGCCCAACTTTTTGTCATATCTGCGTTTAGTTTCATGAGCAATCCCTTGAATGCCTTCGACATCGAAGAATTCCGTACACGCATGAATTTCACCAGTCCACTCAATACCCGGTCGCTTCGCAGTTGTACGAAGCAGCAATCCCTGATGTGAATGACATTAAACGTTGCGAAACTCGTTCACATCCATTATCGTTGCTTTGGGGTCTAGAGGGGTGAAGGCAGCTAACACCGAACCAACAGATTCATCACTCAGACGATACACAATAGCAACAACCATGCCATCGAAGTTCTGAAAAATAAATGTTCCGTCGAAAGTAGCCATCATACCATCAAGACCACCGAAGTTATTTCAAAACTTGCCATCAAACACTGCGCTGGGAGAAAAGAGGTCGCACAAATCTTCTCCAACTCTACTGAACATTCGCTGTCAGCAATCACAAACACTTCCTTCCTCCAGGGTTCCAGACGGTCTACTTCAGAAGTCACGCCATCAATCCCTCATGCGTTCTATTAGCAAGCCTTCACATCGTTAACGCTAGCGAGAGGGTCGGACATGTGGAAGTAACCGTGTCCGTAGCACCATTCGTGACATATCTGTCCTTTCTCACAAGAATAAGAGTATTTATTTGCGGACAGCATCATCACTTGACAAGCACTCCAGCAGCATAACCTCGTAATACTCTACAGGTACCAGACACGTCAGATTATGCGAGTTGTTCAATCTGGTTTGAGAAAATACCACCATGTCAGACTTCTCACCGTTCTCCTGCCTGGCGCAGCACATCCACACTGAATCCTTTGTCTACCCAAGGGGTCAAGTCGAATTCAATGCTTGCGATCGGAATTTCCACTACAGAAGTAAATGCTTCTAACAAGTTGTTGTGTCGGGCACACAGCAGACAGTTTTATGACCATGACGGGTATGCAACGTCCGATCCGTCGAACACAAGAGCTTTGGGAACTTTCAAAGGGCTCCTACCCAAGTTTTCTCCTGGTTTTGTAATGCCGGCCCCAGGAAGCAATGTGGTTCCACCGGCGACATTTTCCCACCATCTACTTGAAGCAGTAGGTGCGGGTGGAATAGAAGACTGGCCACTGAAAGCCCCACTACCTATTCCTGGAATAAAAGACTGACTACCAAAAGCCCTACTTCCCATCCCAACCGAACGAAACTTGTGACACCAGCAGAGGAACGGTTAACAGCAGTATCGTAAGGGTTCAAGCCTGTGTTTACAACACTACTACTCCCAACTCTCACGCTGGACATACCCAGGACTGGGGCATCGCCGCCCGTACCTCTCGCAGTCATGGCAGTAGCGTCTACAGGATGCCAACCGGCGTCGGTTCCGCCGCTGGCAGTACCACCAGCAGAGGAACGACATACAACAATTGCACGAAGGTTCAAGTTTGAGTCTGCAAGACAACTACGCTGGATACGCCAACGACTTTGGCACTGCTGCCCGTACCTCCCGCAGTACTGCCAGTGACATCCGATTGATGTGCACCAGCGTACTCTGTCTCGCCGCCTGCGGTTGCTGCAGCAGCTACTGGAACAGAGGACTCCGCCTGATCACCTCGTTGCCCAACAAGTGACTTGACTATACTCGTCAGCTGGGACAACTGTGTCTCAATCGAATCCAATCTCTCACCACCAATAACATCCTGCGAATCACCCGGAGATGAACTATTCACATGATCCCCAGCAGGCCCGGTCATCACGAAGCAAGGTGATCAATCTCTCTCCGTGCAGTCTTGACGTACAGTCCGCAGTAGTTGACTGTATATCGCTATCGCGTGTTGGTAAACTCGTGGCTTCTGGGGAAAAGATGTTTTATTGATGAGACCTTGGACCAGGAGAACAGGTCAAAAACCCGGACGGGTACCCGGGTACAACCTCGGGGACCCCAACGGGTACCCGGTTCCAACTTTTCCATCCGGGAGACCACCCTAATATGGGGATGGAGTGTAGACGCATCGAAGAACGCGTTTTCGTTTGAAGTTGGCGTCTTGTTTGAGAGTAGATGTGACAGATTTGCGTAGAATAGGGTAAGATGTTATCATGAACGGAGATGAAAGGGCTTTTCCAACACGGAGATGTAGCATGGATCAAAGCATTTGTTGGATTTCAGCTTTTACAAGCGGACATCAACGCAGTAGTATTTTAGCAAGCTTACGAACGCATATAGGATACCATCAGGATTGTCATTGGTAAGTTGAAGAGGAGATACTTTTACGATGTAAATGACAGTAGAAATAAGTCCTACATATGTTGTTGTACTTCGTATTGGTTTAATATTCATGTAGAGTATGAGACATTAAGTGAAAGTTTTCTGAGGTACATCTGCAATTGTCGGAAGGCAAAAAAAAAAAAAAGATGTACCCTTTTCATGCTAACAGCCACACTCCTTAACAGAATCCGGTTGGCGTCGAAGGCTTGCGAAAAAAGGCTGTGTGGGGGGTAACAACATATTCGCCTGATTGAGAGCGAAGTATCTGATTGAGAGCGAGAGCCAAAAAAATTGAAATTTCGGGTCCAGACGCCTCTTGCCATTTCTTGGCAAGTAGGGGACGGGCTATTCCAAGAAGCGGTGCAAATTGAAGGTCTCATCAGCAGCTTCGCGAGCATATGCGTGTCATCGTCATCGGATGCTGCAGCGAGGAGCTAGACAAGTTGCTAGATTTGCCCAGATTGGCTATTTCTGCTCAAACTGTTTCAGGGCGGTATCGCGTCGGGCGGTGGGCTCTGCTGTAGCTTCTGCTCCCCGCTGTAGCTCCACAACGAGAGACTCCCACAGGATGACCAGGGTAGCGGCTTGAAGCTACGGGCTAGCCCTTCAATTCAAGCTACACAGCAAGCTCCACCTCTCAGTGGTAGTCCGGCTACAGCGTATCGCGCAATCTCGCTCTCAATCAGATGCTACGCTCTCAATCAGGCGAATATGTTGTTGGGTGTGATCCAGCACTATTGAGGGGTTCGATAGTGCCTGAACCGGCATTATAGCGGGAAGCCCCCAATAGTGCCGGTTGAGCACTATTCAGGCCTGTGTCTGTGTCAAGAAAAAATTGTTTTTTTCTTCCTCTCTAGCTGGTGACGATGGATAGCACCCCCCCCTCACGGCTGACGATGGATACCACCCCCCTCGCTAGCTGATGATGGACACCACCCCCCCCTCTAGCGAATGATGATGGATACCACCCAACCCGGCGTGCTCTGTCCTGGCTTTGTAGGGATGCGAGGTCAATGGTCTAACGACTACGGCATGCACGACTATGA